TCCACCTACCGAATATCCAGTTACGTAAACTTTGAATGAGAGCGGTTTGTCATGGTTTTGAATAATGGGGAGTGACGTCACCCCCTTTTCGTTTCGCTACTCTCCCCCTCAGCCACCCTACCTTTGTTGATATCCCGATGACCTACAAACACAGTTTGTGAATTGTTCTCATCTTAGCTGGCCCTTTATTTCGATATTGACTAACCCCAAGTAACAGATAGCTGCATGTATAAATGTTATAAAGTCTGTATTTTGGGTTGATCCAACTCATCTGCATTTGACCTTGAATTTCAAACCCTCATGGTTTTGAAAGAAATTTTGATATAAAAGTGTGTGATGTTCTAAAGTTGACACATCTCGAGTGTTATTTATCTTATTTTGACTTAATCTAATATACCACTATAATTTTTTTTGGTGGTAGGGCCACGCAGCAGCCTCGGCTGTTGCACGAATGAGCAGGCTCATCCGAGTAAGTACTAAAACCTCACAGAAGACCGGCGTCAAGTGGACGTATAACACTTTCGCGTTTCGTCTGGTGAGTGAGGTTGCCGGAGCCCAATTTTCAAAAAGGTTGTCAACGCAATGTTGTCAACTGCAAACCCTCAGGTGTAGCAGATGTCGAACGGGCAGCGGTCTTGTGTGAGGTCGTTGTACTCACCCGGGCGGACCTGCCCATTCATGCAACAGGGTTGCGTGGCCCTAGCACCAGAAAGCATTTAATACCAACGGTTGCCTCAATTTTTGTAAATAATAAGTAATCACACGGTCCAGAATTCATAATTCAACCAATAAACTTTGCCTCCCAGGATCACATCAAAGAGTAAACAAAACAAAAAATCACGGAGATTTTGACGCGTGCAAAACTCAAGGCACCAAAGCTTATGAGTGAGCGTTATCGACTTACGGTGATCCTTTTACTATTTTCTATATAAAACTGACAGCATATCACGCGTAAATCCTGTTTCATAAGCCCGATGTCGAATCCGCCTCCGTATCCACTATGTTGAGGTTTAATATATGTACTATATTTAGGACTTCATTCATTGTATCATTATTATTTACGCTTGGAACAGGATTTTTTAATACATATCTATCACCTTCTGCGCAGTTGTGACATGGCATGTCTTTTTATTATAAGGCGACAGCAAAAATTCTGGTTTTTATCCCATTTACAAGAATTTTTTTTTTTTTTTTTTTTTTTATGTAAAAAGTTGCCAAACGAGCATACGGTTCACCTGATGGTAAGTGAATACCGCCGCCCATGGACATCTGCTACACCCGAGGGTTACAGATACGTTGACAACCTTTTGAAAATTAGGCTCCGGCTACCTCACTCACCAGACGAAACGCGAAAGTATTTGTCATACTTCCACTTTACGCTGGTCTTCTGTGAGGTCGTGGTGCTTACCCGGACGGGCCTGCCCATAGGTGCAACAGCCGAGGCTGCTGCTGCGTGGCCCTACCACCGTTAAATTACATTTAATTTGTTTTATCTTAATGTCCGCCAATCCGCAGTGGGGTCGCGTGTTGGACTATGCCCTGAGGGTATCAACCCTCTTTACAGAGGAGGCCTTTGCCCAGCAGTAGGACATTTATAGGCTGTTACTTTACTTTTTAATGTTAGTAACATAAAATAAATTAAATGTGAGGAAATAAGCTCAATTATCAAGTAAATCTAATGATTAAGGATTCGATATGAGGAGAATAAGCATATATAACCCGGTCACTTATTTACAACAAATATTTAATAGAGCCGTGGCAGCTCATTGTCCGGGCGCTCGCTTTTAATTCCACATACTCGAAGAACCTGAGTTCATTCCCTGGTGCCGGCACCAATGAAATTGTTAATTTTAAGTGCTGAGCACTTGGCTCAGCGGTGTAGGAAAACATCGTGACGAAATCTGCATATTTTCGTAATAATAACTAAAAAAATATTTCGAAGATATGTGAGAGTCCGCCAATCCGGAGTGGGGTCGCGTGGTGGACAATTTCCTGATACTTTCTGTACAGAAGAGGCCTTTGCCCAGCGGTGGGACATTTATATATAAAATATCACAGCGAACCTTGCAATAAAGTACAAAGTACACAAAAATCCAAACCAATGTTTAACGTAGTTATTTAGTTTATTTTGTCGACATAGATTTTGTCTGACATAGATTGTGTCTAGACTGTCCTAACATATGTCTGTTTTTTAATTTTAACATCTGTCAATATTTAAAGTTATAAACATTTCACGTAACATTAAAATAGGTGTACAATCGACAATAAAACGGATTGCCCACATTGATAAACATCCCTCAAGTGGCAAAAACAATCCATTGTCCATTGAACTAGAAAAATGCCTTCACCTCGCAATAAAGGGTTTCATCGATATGGAATTTCCGATGAATAAATGGGAAAGGTGCGTTTGTGCGATATAGTTGTGTGCGTAACATTTGTTATATGTGTGCGTGAACCTTTTGGGGCGTGTAAGACAAATTGATTCAGCCGCTGCAGCCCTTCGGTAACCGGAAGTAGGCGCTGACTACTATTGACGCGGGATATTTCCACAAGTATTTGGGTGAAGCCTCGTCGTGAATTTCCACGAGTATGTAAGAATTTTACCGAGAACGTGTTATGATTTCTACGGACATGACAAAGAGAACTGCGACGTTACAAAAGCCGGTTCGCGGTCAAAACACAAAGACTGCCACATGCTTTGCTTTTGTGGGGTCAGATTGTCCGATTTATTTTATGCATATTATTCAAAACAAATCTTGACTTTGATAAAGGCTTAAAATAAAAGTATATATAATATAGTAAATTACAGGTAAATTTGATTATTGCAACAGCTTTTTTTTGTACGATATGAATGATATATTTTACATTTCTGCTTAAGTCAAGAAAGTCTGATTAAAGTCTAAAGTAAAGAAGTGAAGTGTTCATTTGTTTTTTCAAAGGCAAATTACAAATAATTATGTCTTTACCTCTTACGGTCATTGCTTATTAGCAATAACTGCATAATAAAATAAGATAACCTTTCCCAGTAACTTAAAAAATTCATAAGAACATCATGAAAAAGTTAGAGGCTGTACAGCCCCTGAAAATGAGTATACTATAATACATATTATCATATATAACAAAATATACTATATCTATGTAAATATAGTATCCAGTAGAGTTGTAAAGCTGAAAAACATGGTGAAAGGATACACAATAGGCACAAAAGCCGTACAATTTAACATTTGTAATTAACTTCACTACAATTATTGAAAACTTATTCAGTTGAAATTTGAGCACTTGGCTAGTAAAATAAAATAGACGGCTCTTTGTCTAAGCGAACGGAGTTTGATATTCATATGTCGAATATTGAATAGCTCTCATTTATTCTCTGCCATCTGCAACCATTCTTTATCGGAAAAGAAAAAGATCAAGTTACAAAAGTAAAAATAGCTGCAAGACAAATCAATATTTTTCATGCAGCAGTATTGATATATTTAATTTTGCTTCTTCATGGAGTTTTTTCGGAATAAACAAATTAAAATATTTTGCCTTGGATAGGGAAATATGTAATCTCAACCTGACTCTGGGTTTATTATCTTTGCAGGTCGGTATTCAAATTAGTTTCATTTTATGTTATATAAGTATATTTACATATATATATATTTTTATACGTATTTTAATGTGGTTTAGTGGCAGATATGTTTATTGGGACGTAGTAAAAGCATTATTGCTTAAGAAAGCGAATGTTATAATTTACCGCATTATTACTTTCGCTCGATTACAACCTGAGTGTTGTCCAAGCTGGCTCTACTGAGTTATTGCGTTTACCGTCCACCGTTTTATTTCCTTTTATTACAGCTGAGATTACTAAGCTGAAGTGGCAAAGGGCCGTAGCGTATATAGCTCGTAGAAGCGATAACTCATGGGGAAGAAAATTTCTCGAGTGCCCGATATGTATTGGCTATCGCGATTCGATGGCTCCGTGACGTAGTCGCCAAGGTATTCGATTCGCCGTCAGGGGTCGTGGGTTTGATTCTCACACGGGACAACTATTTCTGTGACCCACAGATAGTTGTGTCGCATCTGAGTGTTTGTCCACGTGAAGTTTATGTTTGTAAAAACATCCACACAGTACAGGATAATGTTATTGTAAAGTAAAGGCAATGTTTTATAAAAGAAAAAATGTAGGACGAACCCCCATTGAACTGGAGATGGAGTGACACGTAATTTATATATATTAAGATGTAACCCACAAAAATAGACGAATATTATAAAAAAGAAAACATCACTTTTAAACTACATATGTCAGGAAAATGAACAAAGAATTTTTGCCGTTTACACATGTTTGTAAGACTACATCTTATTTGTCTATCACTGCCGTTTATTTGAGTACACCGAGTAAGTTCTCTTGTGAAAATACATAGCTGGATGTTGATATTGGATAACTTTATTCGAAGCAGAATGTGTCCTTACTATTCACTTGGGTACTTTAGTCTATTTGTAATGCGTAAATGTTTGATAGACTAGGGTACAGGTAAGAAGAGACGTCTTGTTGATTAGGTATGTATGGAAAGTGCTAAGGAGATTCATCACCCGTATGCAGTCGGAGCTTTAAAGCTACGTGCACCTAAAGGTTGCAGCTTCTTGCGTCGCCATTATTAATTCACTATTCCTCGTGTCCGCCATTAGGCCTTACCTTTTAAAGCATTCTCAACTATCGCGTGCTAATACATAATGCAATTGCTAATGATATTGATATATATTTGTTATAAAGAGTTACAGAATCTATATACAAAATGTTAGTTATGTCATAGCATCGAATCGATTTCTTTTTAATTTAACGTTGTTGATGTCATCATCATCGGGTTTTCAGCCTGTTTGAGTACAATGCCGAACACATGCCTCCCCCACAGACGCCCACGACACACGATCCTGAACCATCTGCTTCCATCGACTTCCCGCGCGTTTGCACAGGTTGTTGTGATTTGATAAAATAAATAAAATAATCGGGGAATCACCTGGCACTGCTGTGGGCCTTGGCGGTTGGGTGACGCTGGCTTTGGGCGCACCTTCTTCGCAGAGAGCGGCCGCGAGTCCAGCCCTGTCACAGCCACGGAGACTGTCGTGATTCCGCCAACCACGCTCGAGGAAGACGATGTTGTGCAGTCTGCGACAATTGATAAACAATTTAATTCTCATAAGCGAGCAATGGTGCCTCTACCATAATATACGGTTAGTAGAGGCCATTGATAGTGAGATGCACCTGATAAGGGGCCCAGCCCCACAGAGGCTGTACGTTTTAACTTCAGCTAAAATAAATGACAGTTGCAATCGCATCGCTACGCTTTGTACCGCTACGCCGTAGAAGAACGTTCGTTTGCATTCGAGTAATAGCAGTTGTAACACTGAAGTATGCCTTCAAGCAACACGTTCTTGTTCTAGGTTCCAATAATAATTAACATAAGGCTGTCGCGTCTAACGGTGTCTTTAATCGAGAGTCTCTTGAAGAAAAATTTGAATAGGTCGGAAAGATATATGGCAGCAATTTTTTTCTGTTTTTAATTCCGAACCGGCCAGCATTTGACTGCCATCCCACGTGATGGCAACTTAATTTCACAAAATTAAAACTTAATTGCACCGTTTCACCCGTAGAATTCCTCCACGTACGAGCGGAACGGCATTCCATCATACGTACGTAAAAATGGTTCAAGAACAAAATCATGGTGACCTATCAGGCTACGCGTGACAGTGAGGAGAAATAAACAAACCAAGTAATGTCTCGGCTTAAACAAAAAAAAAATATTTTAATTTCCTCGAACACAGGCATAACAGATTCAAGAAGGGGATAATCGCGTTATCGAATTGTAATTTATTATTCTATCGCAAAATTCCGTTCAGCGCGCACCGAAATTAAAACAAAAAGAATATTTCAATCAAAAGCTAATTTCGTTCCGCAAGCGAAAACACGGTAATAAAGCAAACGGAGCACATTTTTTTTTCAGATTGGGTTTTAATTAATTTCGAATCTGGAAAAGAATAAACTAGCGCCCAGAACTGCAATTACTGCCAGAGCGGACCGGGTAGCCCCCGGCGTTAACCGGAAGCGATGTTGACACTGCTTTTGCTACGTAAAGCGACTCTATTTTCCTTGCGACGTTTGATTCTGGCATTTGTTTAATTGACGGGGAGCAGAGTGGTCCGCACCCGTGTCAAAACCTTTCAATACTGTTTTGGAGCGAAGTATATTATTTAAGTTTTTATAGATTTTTGTAGGTTATGCCAGCTGTGGGAATCACTAAGATGGCCACTATGATGGCTCAGTCATGCACCTAAGTGAAAATTGCGTCACTCAAGATAAACTTTGTATTAAGAATTTTAAAATGAACTTGGGTTAACACGAATCTACGTTTAAAACGTACGTAATGTATTCAGTGAAAATGTATATGAAATTGGGCGTAGACAGTTGTAATTTAAATAAGAAACATTCCTAAGCACCTTGGTCCTCAATGTATTGTTCCATCTTACTACATATCTTTTTTTTTTAAATTAAACACGTTTGAGCTTTTTTAACAAAAATAAATTATGAGCAATACAAGTTTAGTTTTACAATCACAGACACAATTAGTATGTGCTTGTTTGTTTTTTATGAGGGACTGTCTAGTACTTGACTACTATTGTGTACTTCGTTGTAAATTAGTTTGCTTAGCTTTTGCGTTAGCTACGATGCTGACCCCATCCTCCGTATACGTGAATAAATAATAATTAGTAGACTAGAATAAAAACTAAAAACAAATACCCCGAGGTCAAGTTATTGTCATTTTAGAGCAATCCAATTAAAAGCTAACTTTTACATTTTCATTCAATCATTACTTGTTCCCCGCGGCTACAGTTAAAAAACAGTTCTGTACAATATAGGATAAATTAAATTAAGTTTTAATTATTTTTCATATATTTATATGTATGAAATTACACTAAGCTATTAATTCAACTTATAGATTAATTATTACAAATATATTACAAACACATAAGCATAGTTTCTCTCTGAAAAACAGTTGATGGTATCTATGCTCTTGATCTGAAATATATAGATAAAGTTATTTCCATTATTGGACTAAAAGAAGAGGAAATATATTTCTTCTATTTGAATCTCATTTAATTTAGGTTTAAAATCGATGTAATAAAGTGACAGGCACATAGAGTTTTAGTAATATATTTCCATTTGAATCGAAAACGCTTCTGATAGTTTAAATTTGGTATCCTCTATTAAAAACGTTCAAATTATATTCGCTCTTCGACGAAGCGTGGCCAATTAATGCTTTACTGAAATTCGAACGGAAAATCAAGCGTAGCTTATGAAATTTCGGATGGAATAGTTTCTTTTTTATTTACCAATTTCAATATTGGGTTCTCAAACATTTTTTATGTTATGGAAGTGCAATGTAACGTTTGATTATTTATTTTTTAAAGATTGTTTATTTTTTATAACCACTTCTAGTGTCTCCTTAATTTATAGACATTTGAAATGAAAGGTTAAAACAAATAAAAGGTAAAATTAGGGTAGTATATTAGTTAATTATGTTTTATTATGGTGGGCTTTAGTTTAGTATTTGTTAATTGAAGCCATCGATAGAACATCAAAAATAAACCAACAACGTTAAAAAATTGCTTTTTATCAGCAAAGCGCCGAGCGTGCATCAGTTAGCGAGCGGTTTCCGCGGTCGCCCGTTGGCCGCTTTATTGGACTCAGACTAGTTTTGCCGCCATTTTGAACGTTCCATATTAATCACAGAACGTACCTAAACAAAGGCATGAAAGTAAATGGAAATGTCATAATAAAAACCTTTATTTTTGTCACGCTTTACAAGGACGTCAAAGTAATTAAATGGCTGTAGTTCACTATTTTATTATTCAACTTTATAGAATAGGATTATTAGATTTTTTAAATTAGTTTTTAAATTATTTAAGCAATTAGGTTTATCAAAAGTTATCAGCTAATTTATATTTTTTATGGTTTGTCACCATATGATAAAAATAAACCTTAGTAAGAAAATAACATACTATTGTAATAATGGTTTTTTGGACTTCTAAATGTGTCTTTAAAATTTTTTAAACAATATTTAACACACATTCAGAAGCGCTGCGGGTCGAAACGGATATTACTTTTATCGGTGTTATCATGAATTCAATCGTTGTTTAGTATTAATATGCAATAAAGCGCAATTAAGAGATCATTAGAAACATACGGTGTTTATATTCAAGCCAAAACATGAATATATTTTTCTTGGAAATAAAACAAGAGGCACTTAGTGTAAAAGGAGTGAATTAAACTTATCTTGTTGAGGCATTTACAGACATTAATAACTAAAGTCTAAACAAATTAAAGTCTAAATAAAAAAAATATGCCACCCATAATACTCACAAAACAGATCCCCGGACTATACTAAAAAGTATGTACCTACGCTTTTATTAACGGCAGTCCATTCGTAAAGCAGGTAGGTACTCAAGTGTAGAATGTATTATATGAATAATTAAATAAATATATAACGAAAATTATACTTCCAGGATACTTTTAGCGACTTATGTCCAGCAAGTCAAATGGATATCATGTCAAATGAAACATTTAGTATGATCATTGCGTGAAGTAACATGTTCTGGCATGTCACTATTCACGCATGAAATAGATTCGTCAGTAATCAGTAATATCAAAGCCTGATACCAATCTCAATTAGAGACGTGCATATGTATAAGGAGGTTGCGATTCAGTGCACGAACAAAGGCGGCGACTCGGGTTCAATCATCGAGAGAGCTCAACGTAACATATTGAGGACGCCTTTGAGATACTGAGTACTGGACATGTAGCTAGAACTAGGGAATCTATCCGAATCAAAAGTAAATTACACAATAAACAAACAAAGTAGTTACAGAATGTATCAATTCTAAGTCCGTTTTATAGTGAATTGAACAGGCTGGTAATTTCTTAATTGATTTCAGTAATAATTGTTTGAAGTAATAATTGGTCTCGTACATCTGATAAGAATATCTGTATATTATTTCTCACAGGCGTTGTTGGTCGGTACGCCATAACTTCCATACTTCTTCATCATATTTAATGATTCAAACGCCATTTAAAAGCTTATTTTCGCCGCTATTGAGGAAAAATAGACAAATGGAATGGAGTTAATGCGTTCATAATAAAAACTCTGAAAGGTTTTATGGATAAATTACATACGCATTATTATATTACCTTTTGGTATCTGAACTTTATTGTTTTTCTTTGTAGCTCTGTTAATTCCTTACTCTAAAATGATAGGTTTCTGAGGTTCTATCAGAGTAAATTAAAAGAAAAAGTATGTATGTAAAAATATTTTAAAGGGCCTTCAATAATTACGTTGAAATCGTTCTTAGCGATTTTGGTTCGAGATTATTCACAGAAAACAGGATTTTCCACACAATTGAATTTTCTGTTGAAAACGGGACGAGAAAAACCGAGATAGGTCGGGCCTATCTCGGATTTCCCTAAATATATGCATAGAGGAGCCCGTAGACTCACCGTGTATTTGAATGTATTCATGATATTAATATATTGTGCTCTAAGCTATACCTACTACGCTGTTTATAGTTTTGTACCCTGACCTTAGTCTTACATACTTAAAATCTTAAAATAGAATTTTTAATTTGGTATTTTACGGCTTCATTGTATTTACTCTGTGAAAGTATCCATCATATTCATATGAAAGTAAATATCAATTTGAACCGAAAAGACTGGGCCTACACATAGATAATAATTATCATTTCTATTCTGAATGCATATATAATGTCTCAAGGATGAAGGAAATTAAACAAATAAATTTTACAAATATATTAATTAATAACTTAAATTATTTATAAAAGATCGTATTCTACCGTTTTCGTTCATTACTTTCAGTCACAGATGTGCAAAAAAAGAACGCACGTTTTAATATTAAAGTAGTAAACACGACTTCTAACATTAAGTTTTCTTCGTCAAAGAAGCATAACATATTTCATTATGTGTAATGAAAAATTGCAATCATATTAGAGTTGAGAAAGATAATTCACATATTTAATTTTCTTATACATGTATATGTATAAAGGTATTATTTTTTTTTCTTATATACAGCGTATGTTTACCATCGCGACAATAAATGA